TTGCACCTGGGTTTGGCATCAGCACAGACTATGGGAGGGGCTGGCTCCCTCCCCCTCAGATCCTCACTTCCTATACCTAGAGGCCATTCTGGATGCTGCCATGTTGGGAAGTACAGCCTCTGCCCATTACCTGCACACAGGCACCAGAGCAGGGACTGAGAAACCCCAAGGATGGGTCATCTAAGTGCTGTCCATATGAACCTTGGACTTCCTGTCCTTAGATCCTCACATTTTATCCCTGTCTTTCTGGGGTACATTTCAAACTGAGAAAGCTACAGCATAGTGAAGACCCAAGGAAGGCCTATGAAATGGTCCTGATGCCCAACCTCCCACCCCTTCAATGTGGGGACGAGACCCCCTCATCTCAGAGTAATGGGAAGAACCTCCCACATCTCCCTGGCAGCAGATGAGGTGGCTTCACATGCACTTCCCTGTCTGGACTTCAGCCTGTATTCCGAGGAGTAGAGAGGCAGAAGAGATGTCAGCAAAGCAAGTGATGAAGCAGAGTGGATGTCCACTGCCACCAAGCTGGAGAGCAGGCTGCAGCCCACAAAACAGAGCCAGTCAGGGTGGCTTTCCTGGTTTCAGATGTGCTCATACCACTACCATTTTCTCAGCCTCTTCTCGCTGCCTCCAGAGAGGTGGGTGCCTGGGCTGACAGATATCGCTGCCATGTGATAGAGGTTGAGAGACAGAAGCCAACAAAGGAGGCCATTCATCAACAAATGTATTTATCAGGCCGGGCGCGGTGGCTCAAGCCTGTAATCCCAGCACTTTGGGAGGCCGAGACGGGCAGATCACGAGGTCAGGAGATCGAGACCATCCTGGCGAACACGGTGAAACCCCGTCTCTACTAAAAAATACAAAAAAACTAGCCGGGCGAGGTGGCGGGCGCCTGTAGTCCCAGCTACTCAGGAGGCTGAGGCAGGAGAATGGCGTAAACCCGGGAGGCAGAGCTTACAGTGAGCTGAGATCCGGCCACTGCACTCCAGCCTGGGCGAGAGAGCCAGACTCCATCTCAAAAAAAAAAAACAAAAAAACAAAAAAACACAAATATATTTATCGGAGACCGACTTTATGCAAAGCAGTGCTAATACAGGGTTCTCCAAGGAGCTTCCCTCAGCTTTTACCTCACCTCCCTCCATTTATATTAGGGCCTCCTCCCAGGGTGTGCTCGGTGGGCAGTGTGGGACTGGGGGCATGGGAGTTGGTGAGAGCAGGAGGAGAGGTGGGGACAGCAAGCAGCCACAGATTGGCATGAAGGATCCTGACCTCACTATCCATGCCATCCATGGCCCCCAGACTGACTCTGCACCTGGCCCTTTGCCAGACAGCTCTGTCTCACCATGTCTTCTGGAACAACTGGGCATGGGTCATGGCCATACATGACCCTTAAGTGCCACTCTTCTTGGAAGACCCCCTCCAGAAGCATACTAGAAGCCACCTCTGGAAAGGCCTCATATGGTGATATGCCAAAACATTCATGTCAGTGTCCAAACAATATCCAATGCCATGAGACTGACATCTTTGTGGAAACCACTGTTACAGACAGGCTTATTTCCAAAGCCACCTCATTTCCAAACATCTCACTCAGGAAGGGAGGCTCAATATAACCTCAGGGGCCAGTTTTAGCATTTGAAATGGTTCTGCTTGGAAAATGATTCCCTGCAACTAACCCTGGTCTTTCCCACAGCAATCTAACCAAATTTGGAAGGCACTGCCTTCAGCTGAGTTTATGAACAATGAATGCCAACCTTCAGGTTCTAGAAGATTATGGTTGCCCTCCCAAACCTTTATTCTATTATATTACTATTAAAATATTCTAATTTTGCTATTGAGGTAACTTGGTCCTGAATTTATGTTGTCATATACATCTGTCAGAGAACAGATAGCACCTGCACTTTATTTTATTTTATTTTTATTTTATTTTTGAGATGGAGTCTTGCTCTGTCACCCAGGCTGGAGTGCAGTGGCACAGTCTTGGCTCACTGCAACCTCTGCCACCTGGGTTCAAGAGATTCTCCTGCCTCAGCCTCCAGAGTAGCTGGGATTATAGGCCTGTGCCACCACACCTGGCTAATGTTTGTATTTTTAGTAGAGACAAGGTTTCACCATGTTGGCCAGGCTGATCTCAAACTCCTGACCTCAAGTGATCCTCCCACCTCGGACTCCCAAAGTGTTGGGATTACAGGCGCAAGCCACTGCGCCCTGCCAGCACCTGCATCTTGTAAACAGAGAAAGTGCTCATGACAGAGACCCCAGGAGCCCATGGCCATGAGGATTAGAGGTAATGCAACTGTCAACCCATTAGCCTGGTATCAGGCAGGTACCAGACACTGCTTATCCCTTAAGTGTAGTTCTGCTGGGCTCTGAGGAGGCCAGATCACTGCTCTTGGGTTTATATCCAGAAGGGGAGTTGGACGCAAACAGCTAAGTCCATGGCACAAAACAGAATTAATACCATAATCATAATTGATCATATGGTCACAACCAGTACTACTACTCCCCAGAAAATCTTTCTTCTCAGCTGTCAGCAGGGAATATCATAGTGTCACTTTCATTTCACTTCTAGAGCAAAGCTTAACTTTCTTGAGTGTGTGACACTCATAGAGGATGCTGTTAAAATGCAAATTCCCAACACCTTCCACCCAGCCCCAGAGTCTACTTCTGTGGGTCTGAGAGGGACCCAGGAATGGCACTTTTAATGGCCTCTCATGAGATTGATGTGGGTGGGTCCCAAACCCTGTAAGGTGGACTGTCAGTGCAGTGGAGCCTGGGGGATGCCCATTTGTGCTTAGGCCACTGAGAAATGTAGAGGCTCGATAGGCCTTTGGTATATTCAAAGGTGAGTGAAGGATAACAAGGTGAAGAGATGCCTGTGAAGAGACGCCTGTGAATCTGATTTTTTGGATGACTGCAGCCAAGAGTGAGTGGGCATGAAAAACAATCTGAGAGCTCACATTTATATGAGGCTTTTATTAGTGCTAAGACAGACATTCTCATTTCACAAGCTTGGATGTGCAAAAAGAAAAAAAAATCACTTATTTCTTTAAATCAGTTATTGATTTAAAACCCCCCATCCTGCTGTCTGGCTGGAAATTCAGTATCAACCATGCTTGGTTCTGGCTCCTAGTGCCATCTGAAGGTCCTTGGATGCCACTTACCCTTGAATCAAGGGTGCCATTGTGAGTCTTTGGTCCCTTTCCCATTTGAGGCTGTTTAATGGCCCTGCTTCTCACCTGAGCCTGGAAATCCTACAAAACCTAGACCCCAGGGTTAGGCCCACCTCCCTGTGCACACTTGCAGCCATGCCCTCTCCCAGCCCCAGTCCTAGGAAGCCCACTCCTCTGCACCACTCCCTCTCCTCACCCAATCCAGCCCCTCAAGGGCTGAACAAAAAAGCCAGAAAAGGAAGAGTGTGCAGGAACCTTTTATAGTCCATCCTTCTTTGACGCTTCTTGGAAAAAGTACAAATACAGTGATAACTAAATACCATATCTCTATCAATTATCCTTTGGCCCAAAGCCCTCTGGGGTGATCCTCCATGATGGATGTCCCATTTAAAGGTGAGGAATCTGATTCTGAGGAAGCAACCATTGTGGACAGTTTCACAAAATAGCTGGCCAGGCCTAGACTCAAACCAGGCTGTCCACCTCTCTCTGGTCCAGCCCAATCTCCCCAGCTGAGTCATTCTGAAGAGTCAGCGTGGACTAAAATGATGGAGAGGCCCCTCTTTTCCCACTGATGTTCACTGGCCCATGGGACGGAAGTGGGGGAATCTCTTGAGGGCCAATTAAAGTGGGTGAAGGAGGCAGGAGAACCAGGTAACAGTTCATGTACTTGCCTTCTATTCAACAACTATTCATTAAACGGCAATTTATCCCTATAGCACCATGAGTTAAAGGAGAGTTGTGGAGAAAAGAGACAAAGAGGGAAGGGTTTTGAGAAGAAAAGGCCCTGAGAATCCTGCACACAGGCCTTCAAGGGAACAGCCCCATCTGGTGACTGCTTAGCAGATTCTTGCTCAAGAAACAAAGTCATGTGATTTTCTTCAACCACTCTCAAAGATGGAGAGATACAGTTAAGCTGGAGTCTGAAGCCAGTCAGTATCAAATTGATATTAAAATATTATAGCAAATCCAGGAGAAATACATCCTATCTTTCACAACCACAGGAATTAAATACTGGGAAGAAAGGTCCATCTTCTGTCAGTAGCACCAGATACCAGACTCATTATAACCTTTCATCAGAGATTAAATATGGAAACAGATCCTGGGCAAGCCCTTGGCAAATCATAAATGAGAGGGTTTTTCTCCATGACATACCCTGGCCATTCCTCCACTCTCCTAGCCACATCACGTCTCCAGCCCTGCTACAACTTGACAGCAATAATAATAACTAAAATGTGCACAGATCTTTACAGTTTACCAAGCCATTAACCCATTTAGAACACTTCTTTAATCGGTAAATCAGTGGGGAAGGGCTTGGCTATGCTGTAGTAACAGACCTCTCTAATCTTAGTCACTTGACACAACAAAAGATATCTCACTCACAGAACCTGCGGTGATCTGGGTGACTCTCAGGTCAGTGGCTCAGTAGTGCCCCTCTGCCTGCTCAGGGCCTGGACATATGGCCTCAGAGCCCGCCCCACCACAGCCAGTGTCTCAGTAACCCAGACTGTTTGGAACCTGAGGTACCTCCATTTCATTATAAGCTGCTATGATTGATGGGGCAGGGGAAGAAAGTCCTGGAAGATCCCGCACTGCTAAGCAATGGTTTGTCCCAAAGTAACACTCTTCACTCTGCTCCCAGTCTAGCTGCCGCAAGAGCAGGACAGAATATTCTGTGTGCTCAGAAGAAGGAAAGAGCAGATATGGTTGAGCGCTAAAACCCTCTACTGTGGGTAGTGAACCTAGGTGGACACAGTTGCTCACCAGGACACTTAAACCAGCTTTGCGGGACTGTCAGGGTTGGGAAACACAGTCTGGAAAGATTTCCCAATGGAGGAAGCACCAACTGTGGACCCCAAAGCTGAGGAGATGATGCCCACGCAAGGCCGAGGCAGTCTGCAGAGGGCTGGGGAGGTGGGAAAGATGATTTGCTCAGAGGAGGCAGAGATGGGGTGGTGGCTGGGAGAGATGCAGGGTCAAGAAAAGGATGGCTTCAGAGGGAAGAGATTTGCTGAGGCAGGGGGCCACAGGATGGGGAGGTTGCAGAGTCCAACAGGACAGCTGACAGAGCGAGACCCTGTGGGCGAGGAGGAGATGGGGTGACTCTGATTGCAGAATCGCACCAGAGTTCCCACCAGCCCTGTGGGGCCGCTATGACTAGTCCCATCCTGCACATGAAGAAAACGAGGCCCCTTCCAGTTGTCCCTCACGCCTCCCTTCATTTGTGTAGTACCTGATGTGTATAAGGACAAGAGGTGACAAACACATGGCCCCTACCCTTCAAGGACATATAATCCAGAGCTAGGACAAGACCTTAACACAGGGCAAAGTACCAGTGCTCTGAGTTCATTTGATGAGTGATGGGAGAAGGGGCTTGATACTAGCCATGTGGGAGAGACTGGGTTTCAAAAGAGTCAAGTGTGCTGGGAAAGACTTTCTGGGCAAAAGGAACAAGCAAAGGTGTGCAAAGGTAAGGAAGCAGGAAAACCTGTGCACATCCTGAGAACTTGCCCGTCAGAGGCCTGTGAAGGAGCACAGTGGTCAGGCAGGAGAGGCAGTCGGATCCAGGCTGAGACCATCCTGGAGGGTCTTGAGGCTGGCTTACCCCAGGCTGTGAGTAGTGGGCTCAGCCGAGTCCTGGCTCCTGGGTTAGTGCTCACCTGCCCCTCTGCCCACTCAGGGCCTGGAGGAACGGCCTCAGAGCCCCCGCCAACCAGGCTCAGGAAGGCATTCCTAGCTCAGAGTACCCTCCTGGAGTCTCCACTGGAAGGGGTTCCTGAGTGGGCCGCGCCACACCCGGCGGAGCAGAGGCGCAGTCCTTCCGCCTGCTCCCAGCACACTCCACCCCTGCCCAGCATACCCATGGGGCCCCCACCTTGCCCACCTGGAGAGAACCACCCACTCTGCCCCCGCTCAGGGAGAGGTGGTGGCCACTGCTCTATCCCCTCCCTCCCTTCCTTCCTCTTCTACCTTCTCTCTCTTCTCATCTGGGTGCTGGAACCCAAGCGTGAAAGTGAGAGTCAGAAAGTCTCAGTCTCAACGCAGAGCGGGGCAGCTAATTTAAAACGGCTTCTACTCCGGCCCCCAGTGTGACTAATCTCCTTCTCTTCGCTCTACAGGTCTATAAATGGGCCACACAGCAGGCACCCCTTTTTAAATCTGTCAAATCCCCAAATCCATTACAAGTGACTTCAGAGGTCCCAGATAGGGACCAACATTTGTTTAAACCTTTGTCCTCATTACATTTCATGACCGCCAGCTTACAAAAGAGAGACTGGGGGGTCTGGATGAGACACAAGCTCTCCCTTGAGTCCACACTGGAAAGGACAGAGGCAGGTGTCACACCGTTCCTCTTTGACCCGAGCCGCTTGAATTCCAGAGTTACAACAGCTCAGGTGGGTTGAAGGCTCAGAATGTACCAGACATCCGAAGCGCTTTACATACATTTGCTCCTTGAATCTTCACGACAGCCCTGTGAGATGCAATTATCATGCCATCCCACAGACGAGGAAACAGGTCCAGGTGACTGCGGTCTCGGCTCCTTTCCTCTGGCTTCCTCAGAGAAGGCGCAGGGGTCTCCGCCAGGTGGGCGAGGCGGGGTGGGCGGCCCCTCGCGCCCTGGAGTCGCATTCGGCCACCAGGGGGCGCCCCCCGCCCTGCCGCGGCCCGGGGAAGCCAACCTCGGAGGCTCCACGCCCAGCCCGACACGGGACTCCCCCTGCGGCCCCACAGCGAGCCAGGCGGTATTCCCACCACCCAGCTCGCCTCGGACAGTCCTCTTCCCCACCCCACCGGGGCGCCCTCCGGCCTGCGGGGCTCCCCGCGCCCACCGCACGCACGCCTCCCCCTACTCGGGCCAACCCGGAGCCCGGGGACTGAACCCACTGGCGCCTGCTCACGGGACACGGCCTCGAGGAAACTTCCTGTCTGCCTCCCCGGGGTAAAGCACCGTTTAGTCTGTTTATATTTTCAGCACGAAAGTGTATTAAACGCGTTAGAGAACAAGGGGAGTAGAGGGTAAGGTGCCACGAGGTACCGAGAGGGCCCGCGGGCACACGCGGCTTCCTCAGGCTCTCAGACCGGCCGTGGGCAGGGTGGTCCCCGGCCGCACTGTGGGGCCATTTGCACCCAGAAGCTGTCAGCCTCCCCACTGCATCACTGGCACCATCTGGGACCCATTATTCAGCCACTGCAGGGGGCTCAGTAGCCTCTGCTTCCTCCTTCTTCCAATTCCCAAAACCTTCACCAGAGCACCTCCTGGGGGCCTGGCCCTGAGATAGGCGTGCATGTCAGAAAGAAACTGATGTCAGCATTCCGGGCACTGTCTTCCCCGGGAAAGGCAGGTACCCACCCCATCACAGACTCAGGCACCCGAGCAAGCTGGGCACCAGGCCTATAGGGGTGAACAAGACAAACAGAAGGCAGATAGACAACCCAGAAAGCATCCAAACTGTGGCTGCAATTGGCTGATCAATTACAGGTGCAATAGTGCCATGAAGGAGAAGTGCAAACAGACAGACAGAAGCCTGCATGGAAATGCAGGGGAAGCGGGTGTATGTGGTGGATTAACAAAGGTGAAAGAGGCCCGTTCCCTAGGGGATTGGAGATCTGGAGCAGAGGTGAACTCTAACTGTGCCTTGAAGGATAGGGTAAGTTTGTTGACCGGGGCCTTAGAGAAGGTGTTCTGGGCGGAGGGGACTACAGGAGTGAAGACTCAGAGGTGAGAAAGCTGGACCAGTGTTTGCCTGGAGGACACGGTGTAAGTAGTGCCCCCAGTTGCAAGGTGCCTCAGGCAGAGCATGGTGAAAGGTGGATTCTAGAGGGAGAGTGTATCATGCACATCTCCTTTAGTAACTAACAGTGGATGATGGGGCGTCGCTGACAGACTTTTAACAGCGGCAAGATAGAACCAGATTTCAGGGTGTAAAAGGCCACTGGGGCTACATGTGTACTTGGAAGAGGAAACCTGGCTGGCAAAAGTCCTTAGGAGGGAGGCCTCCTTGTCATTATGGTCACTGGGATACTAGAGTGGGAGACGTCAGGGCCAAGGGCAGGACCAGCAAGCAGCAGGAGCATCCCAGGCACCCACAGGCTCCTGGCAGCCAGGTTGAGCCAGCGCAGAATGCGGGGTTAGCAAAAGGCCATGCTGGAGCCCATCCCAGCACCAGAACTTGCCTTGTTATAAAACAAGCATTGGAAACTGGCTGAGCCTGGGCCCAGCACAAGGGTTCCAGTTGGCCTACAAGATATTTACATGTCTTTAAGTTAGCTCCAAACACTGGGAGAGTTTGACTCGAGTTTTCTCTTGAAAAACCCTGGTGCAGCACTCCAGCCCAAAAACAATGGATCGGAGCTGAGTAGAGGGCAGTCCTTCAGATGGACCCTGTCCTCTCGGGGTAGCTGCGGTTCCCATATCATCTGCCTGGCGCTTGTAGGTATTTAAAACTTACACACACACACACACACACACACACACACACACACCCTCAAAGAGTCAAGTTAAAACACCAGAAATCCAGGTGGATGTTGGAAAAGACAAGCCCAGAAGGCAAGAAAGGCTGTTTGAGAAATAATGACCAGGGAAGACTGGCCGTGCTTGAGGATGGATGGGCAGAAGATGTGCGGAACAAGGGTGATCGCCAGGTGACTGCTTGTGGCCTGCTAGAGAATCAAGTCCAACACTGAGCTCCTCGTCCTCCCCAAACCTCCTTTCACTGACTTTCCTGTCTTTCCTGTCTCAATTAATGGCATTCCAACCTTAGTTGATTAGACCAAAAACTTGGAGGCAATAGAAAATAAGCTTTAAAAAGACTTTTTAAAATCTACTTTACTGACATATAATTTATGAACAATGAAAAGCATTAATTTTAAGCCTACTTACTGTTCAATGAGTTTTGACAAATGTATACAACAATACAACCACCATTTTAATCGAGATATAGAACATTTCCATGACCACCAGAAAATTTCTTGATACCTCTTTCCAGATAATACTATCCCTACCTCCTCACTCCATCCTCCTTCCTTGTGCAAGCAACCAATGATAAGCCTTATTTCACTATAGATTAACTTAACCTGTTCTAGAATCTCATATAATCGGGGTCATATAATACATTCTGTATCTGGTTTCTCTTGTTTTGCATGTTTTTGAGATTCATTTGTGTGGCTATGTGTACAAGTAGTTCAAATCCTTTTCATTGCCGGGCAGTATTTCATTGGATAAATAGATCATCATTTGTTTTTCTGTTCATTTATTTTTTGGCATTTAGGCAAAATATGTTTTTCTGTTCATTTGTTTTTTGGCATTTTAGTTGTTTATAATGTTTTTACTATTATGAATAAAACTACTTAAAAATTAAGCAGTACACATTTGTGCACAAGTCTTTCTGTGGACCTATGTTTTCTTTTCTCTTGGGGAAATACTTAGAAGCAAAACTTGCCGGATCACAGGTTATGTGTACATTTAACTTTATAAGAAACTGCCTATTTCCAAAGTCATGCCGTTTAATGCTTCCCACTGGTGTGGGAGAAGTCAGTTGCTCTGTATCATTTTGAAAACTTGGCATCATCAGTACTTTTTAATCAATCATCTTGAGGTTTAATTTACATGCAATAGTATCCATATATTTTTATTTTTATATTTATTTATTTATTTATTTATTTTTTTGAGACAGAGTCTCGCTCTGTTGCCCAGGCTGGAGTGCAATGGTGCAATCTCAGCTCACTGAAACCTCAGCCTCCTGGATTCAAGCAATTCTCATGCCTCAGCCTCCCGAGTAGCTGGGATTACAGATGCACACCACCACACCCGGCTCGTTTTTATATTTTTAGTAGAGATGGGATTTTGCCATGTTGGCCAGGCTGGTCTTGAGCTCCTGACCTCAAGTGATCCACCTACCTCGGCCTCCCAAAGTGCTGGGATTACAGGTGTGAGTCCACCGTGCCCAGCCAATATATTTTTAGAATAGAGTCAATTTATTCTGATAAATGTGACATCCATGTGACTTCCATATCCAAATTAAGATACAGAACATTTCCATCTCCCAAATAAGTTCTGTCCTGCTCCTTTATGGTCTCCTCATTACCATACACTTCTCCGCAGGGAACCACTGATCTGCTATCTATCATGGTAGATTAGTTTTTCCTGTTCTAGAATTTAATGTAAGTGGAATCTTAAGTATGTCCTCTCACCAGAATGCTTTTGAGTGAGATCCATCCATGGTGTTGTATGAATCAGTAGTTGATTCCTTACCCCACATGCAAAATGAATTTTAACTTTAAAAATCATTTTTGGCCAGGCGCGGTGGCTCACGCCTGTAATCCCAGCACTTTGGAAGGCCAAGGCGGGCGAATCACGAGGTCAGAAAATCGAGACCATCCTGGCTAACACGGTGAAACCCTGTCTCTACTAAAAATACAAAAATTAGCTGAGCGTGGTGGTGGGCGCCTGTAGTCCCAGCTACTCGGAAGGCTGAGGCAGGAGAATGGCGTGAACCTGGGGGGCAGAGCTTGCAGTGACCCAAGATCGCGCCACTGCACTCCAGCCTGGGCGACAGTGAGACCCCGTCTCAAAAAAAAAAAATAAAAATAAAAAATCATTTTTAAATCTTTACATTATGAACATCTTAATAGTCATGAAATCATTATTTCAAATGGCCTAAGCCCATCAGTTTGTGTTTCAAATGATTTTACTACATCTTAAATATCTAATAAAATAGGTAGTTTTAAAAGTCACATATTTGTAGAATGAACCTAGTAAAGGCTTATCATGAAGACTGCCTGTTGAATATTCTTGTTTTCCATTATATCCATAGGTAGTCTCTTAAGTAGGATCAGATTATGACAATCAGATCATCTAAGTTTCTATGAAGGCAAAAATTTAGTGTCTGCTTTTCCAGTTTTCACATAAAAATGCTGATAAGACTATCTGAAAAAGTGAAAATACTATCTTAACTATCCTATGCTTGGTTAATTTTCCACAAGATATTTGTAATGCCCGGGCATGGTGGTTCACACCTGTAATCCCAGCACTTTGGGAGGCCGAGGTTGGTGGTTCACCTGAGGTCAGGAGTTTGAGGCCAGCCTGGCTAACATGGTAAAAGCCTGTCTCTACTAAAATACAAAAATTAGCTGGGCGTGGTGGCAGGCATCTGTAATCCCAGCTACTTGGTAGGCTGAGGCAAGAGAATCACTTGAACCCGAGAATGCGGAGGTTGCAGTGAGCCAAGATCGCACCACTGCACTCCAGCCTGGGCGACAAGAGCAAGACTCAATCTCAAAATAATAATAATAATAATAATAATAATAATAATAATATAGAGAGATCCCTTGTATACTTTGCTTAATTATCCCCAATTGTAACATTTTACAACACTATAACATTGCAGCCAGAATATCGACATTGATGCAATCCATTTATTTTAGATTTCTTCAGCTTTACTTGTACTTATTGGTGTGTGCAAATATGTGTGTGTGCCTATAGCTCTACACAATTCTATCACCTGTGTAGCTGCATGTATCCACCCCCACAGTGGAGATACTGAAGAGTTCCATCACCATAAGAATCTCTCCTGTTGCCTTTTTTTTTTTTTTTTTTTTTGAGACAGAGTTTCACTCTGTTGCCCAGGCTGGAGTGCAGTGACTTGATCACAGCTCACTGCAACTTCTGTCCCCCAGGGTCAATTCTCCTGCCTCAGCCTCCCGAGTTGCTGGGATTACAGGCGCCCACCACCGCACCTGGCTAATGTTTGTGTTTTTGGTAGAGACAGGGTTTCACCATGTTGGCCAGGCTTCACCTCAGCTTTCCAAAGTGCTGGGATTATAGGCATGAGCCACTGCGCCCAGCCTCCTGTTGCCCTTTTATAAACACACTCACCTCCCTTCCTCTTGCCCCCTTCCACCCCATCTCTAGCCCCTGGCAATCACACTAATCTATCCTTCATTTCTAAAATGTAACTAACCTATCCTTCATTTCTAAAATGTGTCCTTTTTTTCTAAAATTCCTTTCTAGAAGGTACGTTCTAGAATGTACACACACACACACACACACACACACACACACACACACACAAAACATGGATGAATCTCACCCAGAAGGCTTAAGGTGAGAGGACATACTTAAGATTCCACTTACATTAAATTCTAGAACAGGCAAAACTAATCTACAGTGATAGACACCAGATCAGTGGTTCCCTGGGGAGAAGATGTATGGTAATGAGGAGACCATATAGTATATATAGTGGTATACATAATAGATGGTATATATAATCATATGGTATGTATTTTTTTCACTCAATATCAAAATAATTCACTGGACAGTCATTCAAATTGTTGCATGTATTAGTAGTTTGTTCTTTTTTATTACTGAGTAGTATTCTATGGTATGGATGTACCACAGTTTGTTTAACCATTCACTTCTTTTTCTATATATATACTTTAAGTTCTGGGGTACATGTGCAGAACGTGGAGGTTTCTTACATGTGCCATGGTGGTTTGCTGCACCCATCAACCCATCATCTACTTTAGGTATTTCTCCTAATGCTATCCCTTCCCTAACCCTCGCATTCCCTGACAGGCCCCGGAGTGTGATGATCCCCTCCCTGTGTCCATGTGTTCTCATTGTTCAATTCCCACTTATGAGTGAGAACATGCAGTGTTTGGTTTTCTGTTCTTATATTAGTTTGCTGAGAATTATGTTAACCATTCTTTTCTTGAAGGACATCTGGCTGATTCGAGTTTGGGGCTAATAATGAATAAAACAGACTATTTGTACGTAGGTATTTGTGGGAAGAAAAGTTTTTATTTCTTAGGGATAAATATCCAAGAGTGTAACTGCTGAGTCATATGATAATTGCATGTTTAATATTTTAAGGAATTGCTAATGTTTTCCAGAGTGGCAATACCAGTTTACATTCTCACCAGTAATGCATGAGTGATCCAGTTTCTCTGTGTTCTTGCCATCATTTGATATTGTTACCCTTTTAGTTTAGTGATTCTGATAGATATGTAGTAACATTTCATTGTGGTTTTAATTTGCATTGCCCTGATGGTGTTGAACATCTTTCATGTGCTTATTTACCATCTGTATATCCTCTTTGGTAAAATGTCTGTTCACATCTTTTGCCCATTTTCTAATTACATTGTTTTTTAACTGTTGTGTTTTGAGAGTTCTTTATGCTCTGTAAATATTAGTCCTTTGTTAGATATGTGATTGGCAAATTATTTCGCCCAGTCTATAGTTCATTTTTTCATCCTCTTCACCTGAACTTTCACAAAGCAAAAAGTTTCATTTTTATGAGATCCAATTTATTAATTTTTCCTCTTATGAATTCTGTTTTTGGTGCCAAGTTCATTTTACTCAGTAGTTTTCCATTGTATAAATACCATATATCTACATGTTTCGACCTTTGACTTGCTGATGGACATTTGGGTTGCTTCCAGTTTGGGGGCCATTATGAACATTTGTGTTAGTGTCCTTTTAAAGACATGTTCTCATTCCTCTTGGGTAAATACCTAGATGTGGAATTGCTGGATCATATGGTGAGTATATATTTGACTATAAAAGAAATATTAAACTATTTACCAAAGTTACTAAACTTAGAGTTGGATTACTACTTCCCACTTTTGGCCTTCTTCATTACTTTCCATAGATCCAAGTTTCTACCTGGAATCCTTTATCTTTAGCCTGAAGAACATCCTTTAGAATTTCTTGCACCACAGTTCTCATGGTGACAAATTGTCTCAGCTTTTGTTAACCTGAAAATGACTTTAACTTATTTTTGACAGATGTTGTTTACTGGATATAAATATAAAGATCTGGGTTGGCAGTTTTTCTCCTTTGCACTTTAAAAATGTCATTCCATTATTTATGCTAAGAAGTTAGCAGTCCATTTATGTCACTGATCTCTGTATGCAATGTGTCTTGTTATCTTTTGTTTTCTAGCAGCTTTCAGTATTTTCTCTTTATCTTTGATTTCCAACAGTTTGACATGATGTCCCTAAGTGTGCTTTTATTTATATTCTCTTATATTTATCTTTTATTTATGTTTATCTCTATGTATTTATTTATATTTATAGTTCACTGGGCTATTTTATCTTGCTTGGGATTCACTGAGTTATTTTTCAGTTGAGAAAGTTTCAGCCTTATATCTTGAAATATTTTTTTCTAGCCCGTATTTAGTCTCATCTCCTTCTAGAACTGTGATTAACCATATTGGACCATTTGATACATTCCACAGGTCTTGTTCATTTTCCTTCATTTTTTTCCCTCTGTGGTCCTCAGACTGGATAATTTCTATTGCTCTGTCATCTTCTGTTAACCCGCTCTTATGACCATCCAGTGATTTTTTAAATTTCAGTTTTCATATTTTTCACTTACAGAAATACAATTTGATCCTTTTTTAATAACTTCCATTTCACTGCTGAGATTCCTGAACTATTCACTCATTAAAATAATATTCTCATTTAGTTGTTTGAATATATTTTCCTTTAATTCCTTATTTTTAATTTATAATTCCTTATTTATAATAGCTACTTTAAATTTTCTGTCTGCTAAATCCAACATCTGGGCCATCTCATGGTCAATTTCACTTGATTACTTTTATTTCTGGACTTTGGGTCACATTTTCCTTTTCCTTTGCTATTCTAGTTATTTTTTAGTGTCTGTTGGATATTATGAATGTTATC